TCCAATCCTATCAGTGTCTACCATACCATCATCAACTAAGCTCTGTAAGATATCCTTCACTGACATAGCCGCTGTCAAAGAAATAATTATTATTTTGAAAACTTGGTTGGATTGGGGAAATTATTCATTAAAACATCAGAGAACATAATAAGGATTCAGGATGCCTTTTGAGACATTTTCAACAATTCCCATAAACTTTGCAAATCACTACAAAATAGCAGATGATAAATTAAGCTTGCTTATGCATATAGCAAATCAAAAAATAGAGTTCCATTAAAATCACTGCCATGAAAAGATGGCAAAAAAGATTAATTCACATAGCTTTTTCCTCTAAGAAACTAAATTCATAACAGATCAACAGACTACCAATGGTCCAATTCTAATTCTGTTAAGCACGTGGAATAAATATCAAGAGGACACTTCAGTACAGATTCAGAGGAATTTCTAAATTTTCCCAATCCACTACTATATCTCTAAAGGAACCCTGAAAGAACATTGGTTTTAAACCATCTTTCCCATTAGTGTATCTAATACAATGTACTGCTCTGAGCTAGATAATTTTCCCTGGGATTTATCCTTCTCGTCTCTCAAGCTCATGACACTTTTTCAAATATGCAATAAAATCAGACTGATTTTGAAGAAATGTGCAGACTGAAAATTTAACTCAGCTTTACAAAGTCAGTCCAAAAAAAAAACTAGATAATTTTCCCTGGGATTTATCCTTCTCGTCTCTCAAGCTCATGACACTTTTTCAAATATGCAATAAAATCAGACTGATTTTGAAGAAATGTGCAGACTGAAAATTTAACTCAGCTTTACAAAGTCAGTCCAAAAAAAAAAAAAAAGCATATTCTAGATAATTTTCCCTGGGATTTATCCTTCTCGTCTCTCAAGCTCATGACACTTTTTCAAATATGCAATAAAATCAGACTGATTTTGAAGAAATGTGCAGACTGAAAATTTAACTCAGCTTTACAAAGTCAGTCCAAAAAAAAAAAAAAAGCATATTATGTAACATAGCTTAAATATTGCAGACAATCTGCAGAATAAATAAATGGTAATACTGTCAAGAATACCTTTATCTGCATCTCTGTTATCCATACTGAACACAGAGATAATATAATTGAATTGACATGTCATACTGGCAAGGAAATAGGCATAGAAGGTTATGTTTTAGTAGATACA